ACGGAGCCCCCCCGCCTTCTCTGTCCCATGTGTACCCAAGTCAGCTGCTGCTGAAACTGATCAGGGGCTGACTCGAGGAAGCCCGGGGCAGAGCAGCTCTGCCTCGGGCCTCTGGGGGCCAGCGGCTGGTCAGTTTCAGCAGTGGCTGAATCCGGGACAACTGGGGTGCTGCCGGATTGGTCCCGCAGCCCCGAGGGGCAGCACTATGGGACCTACCTGGTGGCACTCCAGCTGCTCTGCCCCCGGCTTCTCCAATTCAGCCGCTGGTCAGTCTCAGCAGCGGCTGAATCGGGGAAGCCGGGGGCAGAGTAGCTCCAATGGTCCGGCTGCCCGGAGCACTTCCGGGTTCCTGATGGTGCTGGACCTCAGGAGTGCCGGACCATCAGATGCCGGACCAATGGAGATTTACTGTATAAGGATTTCCTAGAGATGCATCCCCCTTCTGACAACAAAAATTACACATTACTCTATGCCCTTTGTTAACTATTTAGTAACTCAAGGAACTGGGGCCATGTAGTCATTTTTGTTGTCAGAAGAGGGTCACAAAACAACAAAGTTTGAGAATTGCTGATTTAGATATTTCATTTTGCTAGCTCTCATGTTTTTATTGCAAGTTCTGTGATATTTGGTGTTTCCTCAAAGTCCCAACTCCTGGAGTTTTGTGAAAATATGACACACTCAGCCTTCATTTAAAAAAATTAAGTTTCTAGCCCTGATAGCCATTGAGAGAAACTTGAAAATGTGGCCCACGTGCACCTTAAAGACTCAAAAATCAAAAGTCACATAAAAAGTGGATGGATGGAGGGACAGGTGGAGATTTTAAATCAATCTTATGTTTTTTTTCAGGCCATGAGTTTTTAAAACTTGGAGATGTCAGTACTGGCAATGGTAATTTAGTACTCTTTGTTTTCAATGAAAAAACTCAAGGGGGGGTGAAACCCACCCCATCTATTGTATTAGGCTTCCTGGAAAATAGGTTTTAATGATTATGAAGCGATCCATAGGATTTGTGCTGACCCTCTGCACAGGATGAATTTCATCCCCAGTGAATTGAGTTCTCACTTGGAATCTTGACAGAATCAATATATGTTTGGTAGAAACTCAAAAGATCCAATTGCACTCCATCACACCAATATTTAATATCTAGTTATTTATATAAGGTCAGTAATAACGTGAATTTATACAACATCTTCTTTCTCAAAGTACAATATAAACCAGTATTAAAATGCAGTCATCTCTCTTGTGAAGAATAAGAGCATTGGCGACACGTAGAGTTCCATTAATTATGGAATATTTTATTTGCATTGTGCATGGAAGCCTGGAGAGAGCAATAATACAACAATTAGAGATCTCACAAACAGGATTAGGGTGGCTTGGCAGTAGCCTGGCTATGTCTACACTAGAAGCATTTTACTGGTATGGGTATACAAATATATTGTGCCAGCAAAGTATTTCTGCTACAGAATGGACACAGCAATACCAACAGCTGCACTTTGTACGAGTATTGTAAAGGATAGTTTTGCTGATATTACTGATTCTATACTACAAACCGCAGCTGTGTTGGCTAGGGAATCACACTTCTTCACATCCCTGACAAATATAGCTGTGCTGGCAGAAGTGTGTAGCATAGACCTGACCTCATCAGCACATTACAGTATTTGCCAACAAATGAGATCAGCCTTAAATGTTTTGGTGGCCCAACCAGATTAGATTAAACTGACAGTTAAAATATAGAGTTTGGAGAGTTTACTTCAATAAAGTTGTCTGACTACCTTGAAGTTACCTCTTTTGAATGTCCCTAAGGCTAACCTTGCCACTAGACGGAAGGCGCTTTCACTGACTACATCTGCTAAATACATCAGTAGCAATTGTACAGTTCTATTGGAGCGTCTTCACCTGCTCAAAGATTGATCTGAAAACAAGTAAAGTTCAGTTTTTTCTCATCCATTACTCTGATTAATTTCATTGTACAGTTACTGTGTGCTCCAGTTACTGTAAGATAAATAACCTTTCTTTTATTCATTCTGGTTCATAAAGCAGTCTCTAGTATATCCAGGAACCAATGAATAGTTCTGAACCTAAAAATGACAACTGATGTGTGTGCTGTCCACCTGTGCTGTGGAGGACCAAAGTCATCTTTCTGTTCTTCTTAATGTAAATGTCTGTAATTTGCCAGTAGCTTTGATTTTGTTTGTGTTGATATTCCTGGATTCTAGATGAAATACATTTTTTCCAAAAAGGAGATTGCAGAATGCATGTTTGGGGCTACGTTGGTAGCTTCACGTGGACAGACTCAGAGGTGACCACATTGTTTGAGTAAATTTCCAATGATAACTCTGACCTCCTTCTGTAAAGTGTTCATTTATATATACAGTATTTAAAGTGTATAAATCCTGACAGATTCCACAATATTTATAGACCATGAAAAAAAGCCTGAAGAAGGTTACAGATCTTTGCATTTGTGCCTGGGTATGTTGTTCAACTGAATTTCAGTAGTAAAAAAACTTAGTGGCTTCTCCAGCCTACTTAGAATGCATTGTTGTGTTCCCCTCTTACTTTTTTGGTGTTTTCTAAACCTATGATTTTATGATGTAAGGTATCTTAAAGAGTGTCAAAAGGAGGAGTGAGAAAACTTGTTCATCTTGGCCTCTGAGGATAGAACAAGAAGCAATGGGCTTAAACTTCAGCAAGGGAGGTTTAGTTTGGACATTAGGAAAAAGTCCTAACAGTCATGGTAGTCAAACACTGGAATAAATTACCCAGGGAGGTTGTGGAGATATTTAAGAGTAGGTTAGATAAATGTCTATCAGGGATGGTCTAGACAGTATTTGGACCTGTCATGAGGGCAGGGGACTGGACTCGATGACCTCTTGAGGTCCCTTCCAGTCCTAGTATTCTATGATTCTATGTATAGAACTAGTGATATTGAGCTTGAGAGCAAAAAACAAACAAACAAAAACAAAAAAACCCCTACAACAAGGATTTTCTGAGTTACAGCTGTATATTTAGAGTCTGTAAATTTAATAAGCAGTGTCCTGTTTTTCAAATAACTCATATTTTCTCTTGGATTATATTTGAGTCTCAATGAATTGTTGGCAGTTTAGGATGCAACTATGTTAATGGGAGAGAGTGAAAGAGATCATTTCTGTAAGTAGGAGTAAGTTGCCTCTAGGGAGGTTAGAGTCTTTTTCTTTTTCTTGCATTTAACTTAAGCACACCAGAGACCATAGCAGTAGCCAAGTTGGAAACTCATTATTTGGGACCCAACTCATGCAGTGGGTGTTATTGAAAAAGCTTCAGATCACTAATGTCTTAAGATGGAGAGAAACATGATTGTCATGATGAGAAGGGAAAAGAAAATGAATTAAATAAGGGACTATTCTCCCATTAATATGCAAGTCGAAATCCTGTTAATGTGAGGAAGAGGAATACATGCTGATAGTACAGTACACATTGATGGTACAGTAAACTCCTCCAGCTGCTGCAGTTTAACTCTAAAAATGCAGAACAGTGATTGTTTTCTAAAACAAAGGAATGACTAAGTAGCCAAATATTAATGTACTGATGAAAGCTTCTAGATTAGGTGAACAAGATCCAGCACAGCTTAAAGTAGCCATTAGGTTGCAATGGTTTTTCAAGCTATATCCAGCCTTCAGATGAAATAGCTTGTGTGAGGAGAAATGATCTTGTAGTATGCAAGTTAATGCATCAGAAGGCCCAGAGCAGAATAATTTACTTTCACTTTTTCATAGAGGACAAGTAGCAGTAAAAGCTACATGTTATTAAGCAACATGTTACGTTTATGTGTTGTTGGTTTTTTTTTAACTCAGCACATAGTTCAAATCTCTAGCCACCTTAACAGCTTTCCAGCTGGAGCTGCTGACATCTCCCATCTAATCAAGTGGTGGATTATCTTGTCCTGATAAATTGGAGCCAGTGCCTCGTAAAAAGTCTTCCCTGAAATACTTCACTAGCCTATAGCTAACAGGGTGGCAAGTATATGGATCAAGTCCTCGAGCTGTACTGCACTATATTTCTAATGATTTGTAGTGAACAGTGTAAATGTTTTAAGGGAAGACATTACTAAACAGAAACACAGTTAAGCATGATAAATTTCAGGCCAGGAGAAAAGGAAGCATGAAAGCTGTAGTGGGTATTGTTGCACAGCATATTGCACACATAGAAAAATGTATTGCAGATTCTAAAGCATTTCCCCTAAAATTGACTTTTTTATGAATGGTGCTCTTGAGGAATGTATTTGTGTTAAAAAGAAATTCTCCTTGCTTCACTGCTGCATCTTTTTAAGAAGAATCAGAGTTATTGAGCCATTAGACATTTGTTCATTGTTCTTGTGCTTTTGTGACTAGATTACTGGCCCAACATATTCAGGATAAATAAACTGTTTTCCTTCTCTGAAACTCACTAAGAAAACCACATAAATTACAAAGGCAAAGTGTATGTGTGTATGGTGGGGAGGGGAGCGATAATTTTATAAACAGAGGAAACTGGAGAAATCTAGTTAAGATAAACAAAGATATTTCCTATAACTATGTATTTACTTTCTTAGATTTGCTTGTAAAAGATAAAAAGGCATTTATAATCTGTCAATTGAAGAATGTCTTTGTGTACTCTAGTTATTCATATAATGCTGCTAGTAAAACTGGTTTATTCTTCTTTCATAGGGGAATCCCTACATGTGCAATAATGAATGTGATGCAAGTACCAATGAACTGGCACATCCCCCTGACTTGATGTTTGATCTTGAAGGAAGACATCCCTCTACCTTTTGGCAGTCTACAACTTGGAAAGATTACCCCAAACCTCTCCAGGTTAACATCACCCTCTCCTGGAACAAAACCATTGAACTAACTGATAACATAGTTATCACCTTTGAATCTGGCCGTCCAGACCAAATGATCTTGGAGAAATCACTTGACTATGGGCGAACATGGCAACCATACCAGTATTATGCCACAGACTGCTTAGATGCTTTCCATATGGATCCAAAATCAGTAAAAGATTTATCACAGCACACAGTCCTAGAAATCATTTGCACAGAAGAATACTCCACTGGGTACATGACAAATAGTAAAATCATCCACTTTGAGATTAAAGATCGATTTGCATTTTTTGCTGGACCTCGGCTTCATAATATGGCTTCCCTGTATGGCCAGCTTGACACAACCAAGAAGCTGAGAGATTTCTTTACCATTACAGACCTGAGGATAAGATTGCTCAGACCAGCAACTGGGGAAATATATGTAGATGAGCAACACTTGGCCCGCTACTTTTATGCAATCTCAGACATAAGGGTGTATGGAAGGTAAGAGAATATGAACCTTTAAGAATAGATAAATATGTCTGTCCTTAGAGGATGCCCACAATTTTCTATTCCTCCCTCAAAATGTCAGGAATTTCTGCTGATTTTTTTCCCCAGAAATCTAGCTCAGTAAACACCAATTTCTGAAAGCATTAGACACTTTTGATTCAGCAGCACTAAGTCATCAAAGTTCTGCTCTCACTAAACTTGACAAATCTCTGTACATTTTAAAGAGCAGAATATTTTTAGCAGCTTCTTACGCTATACCAGGGATATCCAACATTCTATGTCCAAGGGTGAAATTAATCCCAGTGTAAGGGACATTCCACAAGACTCTCCAGGCCACCTTTATGCTTTTATGGCCTAATCTAAAGCCATTAAATTCACTGAGCTTTAATTTAGGCCCTTACTGTAAGGGGTAATTAGTTTGAAGAGTCTTGGATGGGATCTTTGCAGTGAAGTAAATTTCACCCGTTCTGCAGGGTATAGTTCTGTTTGAGAGAATAAAGAATTCAGGCTAGAGTCCCTTATACATGCATTATATTGCTCTTCGTCTACGCTGCACCACTATTTTGGGATACCAGAGTGTCCCAAAATGGCTATCCCGCGTCTTTACAGCAAGCCCATTATTTTGGGCTTGCTATTCAGACATCCCTGTAAACCTTATTCTACAAGGAGTAAGGGATGTTTCAGAATGGCATTTTATTTCAGATTTTGGTGCTGTGTAGACAGCTCCAAATGAAGAAATAAGCTATTTTGAAATAGGATACACAATTCGCATAGCTCAAATTGCGTATCTTATTACAAAGTTATGGTGCAGTGTAGATGCACCATAAGTGTAAAAAACAAAACAATGTTTTGGATAGGAACTAATTTGGATAGGAACCTAGGCATTGTCATATTGCTTTAGACAAGTGGCCATCTTGTGTCTAGAAATGGCTAGTACAAGGTATAAATGTCTCATAATAGATATTTGTGCAAAACATGCCTATGTAGAAAGTGTCTTCCTAACCCCGGAAGGGTAGTAACTAGTTTATTACCTGAAGCATGAGGACTGATATCTCTGAAAATAGTAATAATTACTATAGTACTGTAGATGTTGGAGATAAAGTCACAGGGGAAAAAAGGTCTAATTCTTTTTTCAAATCCCACTAAACTCTTGAGATTATTATATTTTGTGGTAGCAAGTTTCACAGATTTATTTCCCATTGCGTGAAAAAACAATATTTCCTTTTATCGATTTTATGTGTTTTATCTTTAAATATGTTAGGTGTTCCCTTGTTATCATATTATCAGATGATGTAAATAGGACCTCTTCCATATGTATTTTACTCTTTCATCCACTTTGTACCTCTTAACCATATCCTCTTTAAAGAGTCTAAAATGTCTCTTTAAATGACTTTATTTTTAGAGTTCATTGAGGCCTGATGCAATATCAATAATATTTGATTGCATACAAACAAAACTCACTTACTTTACTGGAAGGATAAAGAATATCATGTACATTCTGCAGTAAGCAAAAGATAATTGACGGTAATGCAATAGACAAGGAGATTATACAGCATGCTATTGACTGTGTATTTGTTACTGCTGCTTAGAGGGTTGCTTAAGTGAGTATTTTTAGTTTCTGTTATATGGAAGACATTGCATGTCTCTAAGAATTTTCATATATGCAAGGAAATCAAATTTCTATGTTGCAAAAAATCTAGGTAGAATTAAATTAATACAATGTAGTATCAAGTTTTGCTTATATTTTTCATATTCAGCTAAAATACATAAGGCAGGAAATCAGTGCCATTTACATGGCTTTGAATTTATCAATGCATTGTCCCAATGAAAACATATTTTGATGAGCAAGAACTGTGCAAATCTAAATGAGTTTTGTTGCACAGTTGATTTGCTGCAGTTGCAATTATTTGTGCCTCAAGTAAAATATACATACATAGATACAGAATGATTGATTAAAAATATTTCATTATTGATTTTCATTGAGAATTTTAATATACATATATGTAATATTGTTTATAGATTAATATTATTCATGAATCTTGTCATTAGCTTAGTGGATCACGGGAAGATTATGGTAGTGGTTTAGGTACCTACCATGGTAATCAATTTATCAGAATTACAACATACAGTTTAGTTCTCTTTTATCCTTTCTTCTGTCCCTTCCTCAATGTCAAGTAGATTAGATGTGGAGATTGACCAGAGCAAACCCAGCATTCAAAAACTAACACTTTGAGAAGGTGCAGGTCCACATCAGAAACCCCCTGAACTTTGGCTCTCAGTCTGTCTCTAATTAGACTGTCAGTAACTCATGCCATAAAAAATTTGAAGGAGAAAGTGTGCGTTTTAAGTGAATCACAAACAGAAACCTTCCAAAACAGAACTAAAGGATTTTATAGTAATCTCATAACAAACTGTCTCTAAAAATTGTTCTCTGTGTGCCTATATGGAGAACTTATCTGATGGTGATGCTTATTGGTCAAACTGACATAATCAGACACCAGCTACACGGGAGTTATCTTTTATGTAATTCTATCCTAGTAAGTTAAATTCACGTGTGTCTTTGTCACTTTGCTGCTGAGAAAACCACCTCTTGCTGTGTTGTGTTCTTGCCCCTTAAATAAAATTAGGGCTCGTTCCATCTCAACGCGCATATCAGGGTACTCTCAGCATCTTGCAAATCTTTGGCTACTCCAAAGGTTGAAGTACCACTGCCATCCTCCATTAAGGAAAGATAGCTTTAAAATCACTTGTGCTCTGCGGGAGACCACTAGCAGAGGCTGCCCTGAAGAGTCTGTGAATTAGCAGTACTCCCAGTTACGTTGTCTCTTACCTGACCAAAGGCCTTGCTAGCTAACTCTGGATCCACCAGTGGTGCAAGGGTTATGTTTCCAATCCAAGTAGACTTTCTTTCAGTAGCACCTGTACCCAAGAAGTTAATTAGGTCTTAAAGTGTAGCCACGATATTTGATATTCTGGATTTGGAAATTTTTCTGGGTATCGAAGAGCTAGTCTGGGTCATCCATAAGTATAACATGCAAAGGGAGGTCACTGAGTAACTTAACATGCTGTGAGTGAAATATGCTAATAGATTGTTTAATGCTATAGCACAGTGTTTTTCAAACTGTGCTCTGCAGAGCCCCAGGGCTCCGCAAGACATCTCGAGGGGCTCCGTGAGGTTGACAAACTGGAAACGTCGATAGGTCGATAGGACTGCTGGGACGCCGCATAAATCTTTACGCAAGTAAAGGGCTCCGGAGCCCAAAAAGTTTGAGAATCGCTGCTATAGCATATACTGTAATACACATCTGTAGGTTGAGGGCTGTTAAAATAATCCATGGTTTTAACAGCATATTTTTGAAGAAAGCAGATTTTCTATGGAAGTTATTTCTGTTGAATTTTAGGAATCAATGACTGTTAAAAGTATTTGTCCTAAAGTTGCCATATTAAACATGCAGCTTTTTAAATAGCTCACAGTATATTCAATCTAGTAAATTTGCCCATTTAATATATAATTTTTCTCATTCCATTGCATTTTGTTGTGAAATAAGCTTGATGTCTATTGTATTAAAGATGAAAATCTCTTGATAAACCCTTCAGTTTTCCTATTACCACATGTTTATTCAGCTTTCATTTTGTTTGTTAAGATAATGAAAAAAGAGGAAACATGACTGTTAGCAATTTCAGCAACCCCATTGCATGCACATTATTCAAGAAACCTAATAATCCTCATGAACTAATTCTGACTTATGGATGGTCTGCTTCACTAAATCAGGGTGATTTTCTCTGGTGAATAATGGACGAGTGTAGTGTGCCACTGCCTTAATTAAAGAAAGCCTCTCTTAGTCTTGATCTCATTTTAATTTACAGGGTAATACTACAATAATATCACTAATGGAAGGTACATTAAAGGGCATCAAGTAGCATTAACTGTATTAAATTATGGCACTTGTGTTAATTAACTGCTGGAGCAAGATGGTCCTAATGGTTAGAAAGGTCGGCTAATGCATAAATAAAGCCTGTCAGGATGGGAAAGTAAGAAGTGGTAGACATTTGCTATGTTCATCTCTTTTTTGAGCAGAAAGTAACACAGGCTAGTCTATAAGACTAACCTCTTTTTTTTTCTTATTGCACTGCTTAGAAAGGAGGATTTTATGGTTCTGAATATATTTGATTAATTGAAGTTATGTCCTGACGTAACTTGTGAGACACTAGTACTTTCTCTAGGAAATGTTCACTAGGAGCCTTTGAAGCCCAGGGAAATACTCCTATTGATTGAAAAGGGCTTTAGATCAGGATCCAGAAGGTTAACCATATTAATTCTTAAATAATTATTAAAAATAAATAATTGTTCAGTTTGACTATTATACTTTCAATGGTATGTAAGTTATTTGCTGTATATTGACTGTAGTTCAATTTTGTAATAGTGAAAATTATTGCTCCTATGGTTTGAAAAATGATTGGCCTATTAAGGTGAAGGATGCTTTTGCTCATTGATGGTTAGTTTTTCAATCTAAGACCCAGCACTTTCCTCTAAAAGCTAAAATATCCAGACTGTATATAATATGGATTGTTAAGCCCTTTGGAATTTATTTTTAGACTCTTCCTCAGCTTGAGACTTCTGTATTTGAGCTCTAGGTTATCTGACCCTATCTCAGCTGCAGTTTTAATAATAATAGCTACCCTTGTCTTACATTACATATGTGGAAATTTTTCCTCCGTTTTATCAGTTTCTCTCCTTCCCATTGTCTGTGCTAAACGTAATCCATTGAAGAATCTGAATAAATTACTCTTAGGGAAAGCACAGTTCCGGTTCAGATTTGTTTTTTTTGTTCAGTATGCCCCAAAATCTGCCGATGTCTCTAAATTGTCCATTTTTATAAGATCTTACTGTTTAAGAAGTGGGTGATAGGATCTTAATGGCCACTGTAAAAGAGCAGATTTTACCACCTGGGACCTGCTGTGCAAATTGCAGTGGACGTTTATAAAGAAATGGC